TGTCCCCCCCACATACCTCCCCACTGAGTTTCCCACTCCCCCTCCTTTCCAGAGCGGATTTTCTCTTCTCTCGTCCCCAAATGTGAGAAGTGCCAGGGCCTGGTGAAACCTGGTGAGCTTGGGGGGTCTGGAGGAGCTTAGGGGGGATTGAGGGGACACCTAAGCTCCCTCCAGCCCCTCCACTCACCTCTGACCCCCCCCAGACATTGTGTTTTTCGGGGAGAGCCTCCCCTCACGCTTCTTCACCCTCCTGCAGTCGGTGAGTGGGGTGGGGGGGCCCTGAACCCACCCTGAATTCAGGGGAGGGGGCAGAGGGGACCCCACAGTGACATCCCCTTGTCCCCCCAGGACTTCCAGAAAGTTGACCTGCTCATCATCATGGGCACCTCGCTGCAGGTGCAACCCTTCGCCTCACTCGTCAGCAGGTGGGACTGCCCCAGCACCCCCAGGACCACCCCCCAATTCCTGTGACCCCCTCGTGACTGTCCCCTCCCGTCACCCCCACAGGGTCCCTGTCAACACCCCCAGACTCCTGATCAACAAGGAGAAGACGGGACAGGTGAGGGGCAGGGGATGGGGGGGCTCGTGTGGGGCAATGTGGGGTTGAGGGGTGCTGGGGAGGGGGAAGAAGCACCTGCCCCCCCTTGTCACCCCTTTTGCTCCCCCCAGAGTGACCCCCTGATGTCCCTGATGGGCTTCGGCTGCGGGATGGACTTTGATTCGGAGAAGGCCTACAGGTAAGGGGGGCTGGGGGGTTCGGGGGGCATCCTGGACCTCCCCAAACAGTTTTAGGGACTCCCCCGCTTGTTTTAAGATCCCCCAAGGTAGATTTGAGGTGTTTCTTTCCCCCACTTAGGTTTGAGACACCCTAAGGTGTTTTTGGGGTATCTCATGGTTGTTTCCTCAGGAACTTTTGGCCCCCTCCAGAATGGTTTTGGGAACCCTTCCAGATGGATCTGGGGGTCTCTTGAGATGATTTGAGGGCCCCCCCACGAATTTGGGGACCCCTAAGGTGGCTTTGAGGACCCCAAGGTGGTTTTGGAACCACAAGGTGCTTTTGGTCCCCCTCCAGTGTGGCTTTGGGGACCCTCTCAGGTGGTTCTGGAGCCTCCAGGGTGGTTTCAGGGAGCCCGCCCCATGCTTCTAGGTCCCCAAAGCAATTTGACACCCCCCTGAAGTGTTTTATGCCCCCCCCAGCTGGTTTTGGGGTTTCCAAAGTGGTTTTGGAAACCCCAAAGCAGTTTGGGGCCTCCTCCCCAAAGTGATATCAGGCCCCCCAGGTGCTTTAGGGAGCCCCCCAACTGATTTTGGGGTCTCTCTGTTCTCTTTCAGGGATGTGGCCTGGCTGGGGGACTGTGACAGCGGGTGCCTGGCTCTGGCCGAGCTGCTGGGCTGGAAGGTATCACCCTGACCCCCAGATCTGGGGGGTTCTCCTGACCCCTGCACCCCCAAACCCTGCTGGGACCCCTCCAAACCAAACCACTGTCCCCTGGCAGGAGGAGCTGGAGGAGCTGGTGAGGAGGGAACACGCTGCCATCGACGCCGGGGGGGGCAACAAGGACCGGGAGGACCCTGAAAACCCTCGGGGGCACAAGGAAAGGGGGGACCCCAAACAGCATCTGGGGCACAAGGATGAGGCTCAGAGGGACCCTGAAAAGCCCCAGGGGGGCAGCGAGAAACCCCCCCAGAGGGAGGGGGACACACCCCAAAAATAAATGGTCTGAAAAGAGTTTATTGGTTTCATCTGGTGAGTGCGGAATGTGGGGGTCAAGGGCCTGAGGGTATTTCTTGCAGGAAAGAAAGCCCCTATGGTCGGGGTCTCAGATGCACCAACCGCAGGTGAGAGATGGAGGCTCAGGGCTTTGGTTCCTGGGTGGAAGGGCAGTGGTTCACTGGCTGGCGCTGCATGGGGGGTCCGAGGGCCAAAACTGAACACGGACAAAGATTCCTCCCAGACCAAAGGTGCCCGGGCAGAAAGTGCTTGCTGTGTGTGTAATGCCGAGGATGGCACACGAGACAGGGAGGCTCAGGGCTTTCTTTCCTGTGTGCAAGGGTGGTCATCCCCTGGCAGGCTCACGACAATCACAAAGCACCTGAAAATTCTAATTATCAATTAGCAGGAGAATAGCAGCTTACAAATAGGAATGTATATCAGTCTCCTCCAGAAGATGCTTGAACACCCAGATATAGAAAAAATAGAACAAGCAGGAGAACATCATTAGTGGGATATTTTTCTGGGATACTCCCCCAGTATCCCAACCTCTCAAGTGTTCCATTTCCTAATACATCCAATCTTAGCATTACTGAGTGCCTTTGCATTATTATAATTACTCAATTTATGACTGTGGTATAAATTAAGTACCATAATCAAAAGAGTGCAAATTATGAAGAATTAATTAATTATGAGTAATTAATTAATTAATTAATTATGAGTAATTAAGCATGAGCTGGTTTGTTCCCAACGTTAAATAAACAAATACCTTGCCACTTAAAGGTACAAAAGTCTCCGAGCAGTTTTTCGGACGGGTTTTTTGGCACCACAGTCCAACTATTCCCAAACGCTGCCACTGTAACCCCTAAACCGTCACCGCTTGAACACCTGCAGCAACGGTGACTCCACCACCTCCCTGGGCAGCCTATTCCAGTACGTGTCCACCCAGTTTTTTCCTAATCTCTAACCCAAATCTCGCCAGTCTCATAGTAAGGCCATTTCCCCCGGTCCTCACCGCAGGACAGCGGCTCTTTCCCGGTTCAAACCTCGGCACAGCCACCGAACCGGGCGCGGG